CAGTGGCGCTTCGCGCCATGCACCTTGGTTCTTGAAGCTTGGCACGCAGGCGGAATAGCAAGAAGGTCAAGTCGACAATTTAGCGATAACTCCTTGTTGCCTTTTCCGGCATCGCCGCTGTAATAATGTTGTTTAATCGCTGCGCTCATTCCGCCGGCCCTGGAGCGCTATTTGGGGCCTCGTGGGGCCGTCTTGGGGGCTTCTTGGGGGTTTCTTGGGAGCGTCTTGGGGCTCCTTGGCGGCGTATTGGGCTCCCCTGGGGCCTCTTGAGGGGCTCTTGGGGGCCCCCTGAGGCGGGAGGGGGGGTAGTCGTTGGCAGCCCCCCCCTCGGAGGCCGCGATCCTCGCGAGGGGTGGCGAAAAATAGCCTCCCCCCTGGGGATCGCCCGGGGGTCAGCCGGGGATCGGCCGAGGTACTTTTCGTCCGCGCGCGCGAAGTAGAAATATTGTTAAGTACTTACCGGAGATCTTAGCACGCCTCTGGCCCGTTGGGCCGGCGAATTCGATATCCTTCTTCCATGCTTCTTGTTCTTCATTTTCGCCATACACTGTGCATTCTCCCCATCCTCCTCAGCTCTTTTTTTCGAAGGCTCTTCTGGGGGCCTCACAAAAGTTGTTCAGGCTTTCTTAAGGCCTTCTGGGGGCTTCCGGGCTTTCTCGGGCCACCCTGCCTCCAACCGCGGTATCCCTGAAAGACCAGGTCACGATTCGGAATTCTTCAGAGGGTGTCTTGGGGCCATCTTGGACCGCCATGGGGCTTTCTGAGGGCCATTTTGGACCCGTGTTGTGCCGTTTGGGGGCTCTCTTGGACTGCCTCGAAGCCCTTTCGCATGGTTGTGGGGCGAATTTGGAGCCTCCGAGGCGGCTGCGGACGCCCAGAAGACCGCCGTCTTGGAGCGTCGGGAAGCCGAAAAGAGGAGAACCCCCAAATTCACCAAAAACAATGGAACATCTATGATTTGTGCCTCTTGGGGCCTTCTTGGGAGTGCTCTTGGAGGCCTGTTTGGGGCCGTCCTGGAGGCTGCTTGGCCCATCTTGAGGTCACGTCGCTCACTCTTGGAGCGCTCTTGTGCTGTCTTGGGGGTCTCTGGGGCGTCTCCGAGGACCCCCCCGCTCACCCTTGGTGTGCTGGGAAGGCTTGGCAAAACGCCCTGCGAGGCCCAGGGGGCCGCTTCGAGGCCCGCGTTGAAGGTCCCAAAGCCCCAGATCTCGGGGGTCCGGTTTTGGGGGGGGGTCCCCCCGCCCGGGCTTAGAAAAATATAGGAAGAGGAATACGTACATACGTATGTGTGTGAAGCGCGTAAATGTGGGCATCATCCCCCTCCTTCTCCTCTTTCTGCCCTCCGCTTCTCCCTCATCATCTCCCTGCGCCCCCTCCCCGTGCTTCTCCCTCTCCTCCCCCCCTTGCCCCCCTTCCTCCCCCTTCCCATCCACCTCCTCATGCCCACCTCCTCATGCCCATGATCATCCACCCCCCTCCCCCCTAATTCATGGCGTCGCTCCTGCAGCTCTCCCGGTCGGCCCCTGACGCCGCCGCAGTGGAGGCCCACGTGGACACTTCTCGCTCCGAGGCGGCCAGGGCGCTGAGCGGGCTGGAGGACGCACTCCAGTCGCGCCTCGGGCAGTTGCGCGAAGAGGCCTGGCGGAGGAGGAGCAGGAGGAGCAGGAGGAGGAGGCGGAGGAGGCGAGGAAGCGACAGCGTGCGAAGCACCCTCATGCCATCAGGAAATCAGGAAATCAGGAGGCGCGGGAGGAGGAGGGAGGATGAGGAAGATTAGGAGCCTTGCACCTGCGAGATACGCCCAACTTGTCCTAGGGATTCTCAAAGTGGCCCCAAACAAGCTGGAGTGGCCGTGGCCCTGACATCCTCTGTGCCAGCCTAGATGTGCATACAGCGCTCCTACTTGGTATGTTCGTGCTTGACCCAAAAAGGAGAAGGCGACATTCACCTCTCCCTGTATCGCTGATGTATGTCACATCAGTCGTGGTACTCAACAAGGGAACCCATTAAGTTCACTACTGTTCAACTGCCTGTCCGAATTCATTGTCGGGAAATTCCGAACGAAATGGGCTGATAGGCAACAGGGCAGACACTTGGCAACACACACGCACACATAAAACGGCCTCATCGATTTTTGTTTTGCACGAAACCACCCAGAGCATGCAGCAGTTAACGGGAACGACATCGAAGCCTTGCTCGTCTCAGCTACACAATAATATCTTGGTCGACGGGCTACCTTCTATGATCACACAGCGGTTGAAATTGCTTCTAGAATCATTGCAGCGGTCTTATTATCTGAAGGATCGTCTGCGGTTGTTCAACGGTGTTGTCTCTCCCACGCTACTATGGCGCTGGCTCTTGGACGATGACGGCCTCGTTAGAATCACGGGTGCGGTCCACACAACGACGTATTCTCAGAATGGTACTCGGATCGCCACGACGCCGTCCCCCTGGAACCAGCGTGGAAACAACAGATCCAGATCATATTTGTGACAGCAGC